CTGTCAAAATCCAAAGGAATGGCTCTCCACACCAGACAGCAAGGCTGCCTTCCCTAGTGATGTTCTAACATCATCCTAAACAAAACACCTGTGTTACACTGTTTCTTTCCTCTTCTTCTGGCATTAATCTCTCCCCCGCCCTCTACCTCCCCCCCCCTCTCTCTCTCTCCCCTTCACACACACACACACACACACACATACACACGGGTGGGGGGGGGAGTGATGGCTTCCCAAACTGTCATTTCTTTTAAAACAGGTACCCAAATGTTCAAAAGGAAATATTACAAGTGGAGTTCTTGCACATTTTAACTTTCTGGAACAATAAATGGTGATAGAAGTTAAAATACAGGGTGAGAATGCTCCTCAACTTTTTCTAGAATCCCAAGCCCACCCTTGACTTCCTGCTCTCTTTGGAAAGTCCCTAAGTTGTGTAGCATTGTTTTTCTCCTGGGTGGGGACAGATGATATTGCCAGATATCCAGCCTCCCCTGAGGCTTGCCTCATCACACAAAACCTTCAGGCTATTGTGGCTTGTTTTCAAATTTCTTACAAAGAATGCCAATTGTTGCTCAAACTCCTCAGAGACACCCCACTTTCCAAATCATCCCTTTCCTACTGTTCAGATTTCTGAGTTAAATGATTTTCTCCCGAAGGTTGGTTTCAAATGTTAACTGGGCCAGGTTGCCTTGAGATGTCTAACTTTCATCTGATCTAAAAAAATAGTTATCGTTCAAGGCAGGAGCTAAGTAGGGCACTACTGGATGCATCCCAGGTGATGAATACCAGTCTTCCGACTGCTATTGAAGACAATAGTTCCCTCCTTCTTGGATGCTACCTAATCTAAAACAAAGGTGCTCTGATCCATTTTAAAATTCATAGGTTCAAATGTGCTTGAATCCCAGAATCACCATCTGTATAACTGTGGGTAAATTAATTGCCTGCCCTTCCAAACTTCAAATTTCAAGTATGTTAAATAGATTAACAATACAAGTCACAGGATTATTGGGAACATACTACTATTGTTATATTAAGAATTTAAAGACATTGCTGGAATGTGGTAAGTTCTTAGTGGACTGTAGTGTAACTATTATGCAGTGAAAAGAAATTAATAAATGGATAATTTAATTCTGTTTTGAGATGTCCAATACCAACCCCTGTAGTGATATATTACTTACAATTTATTAAAACTTGCCTGAGTATTCAGAAAGTAAAGTCAGCCACACAAGCCATAGTAGCCAGGCACGCATCTTTAATCCCAGCAGCAAGAAGCTAGGAGGTGGTGGTACACAGCTTTAATCCTATGATTCAGGATTAAGAGGTAGCTGGATCTCTCTGAGTTCAAGGCTACTACCCAGGGTTACACAAGATTGAATGAGTCTAAAAGAGGAACAGATAACATGCCTTTAAACCCATCAGTAGGGGTCTATAAAAGATAGAAATAGGGCCTTCAGGGGTCAGTAGAGGCATTCTTTCTCCAGCCATACTGAGGAGAGGCAGCAGCTTGAGACTTGGTGAAGAGCGCATGTGTGGATCAGCCCTTTCACCTGAGCTAGAAGTGAGAGCTAGTGGCTGGCTGCTTTGCTTTTCTGGTAGTCAGCTTGAAGTTTGAACCCCACTGTTCTGGAACTTTTATTTGTGTGTGTGTGTTACAAACACCCATGAATAAAAATATAATATTTTCCTTGTAATAGAAAATAACTATACTAAATAATAATAATAATAATAATAATAATAATAATAATAATAATAATAATAAAATACAGAGATAAATGGCTTTTAATTTGCCATTGCCTGGGGATGGTGATGAGAAGATTGCAGGGAAATCATTGTGGTGATTGAATTGTTCCATGCCAGGATTGCCATGGTCTTTACATGTATCTACACAGGTTAAAACTGCATAGACTTTTACACTGTACTGATGCTACCGTGTAAGTGTATCAAAGTGTAGTGTGTAAAATATAATTATCAGGGGAACCGAGTGGAGGGCAGGCCAGACCTTTGTGTACTGTTTGTGCACACACACATCAACCTGTAATTCCCCGGCAATGGCAAATTAAAAGCAAAAGGCACCTTTCTTAGGCACTGTTCTACTGCTGGGAAGAGACACCATGATCAAGGCAACACTTATAAAAGAATGCATTTAACTGGGGTTTCCTTACAGTTTCAGAGGCTTAGTCCATTATCATCATGGCAAGGAGCTTGGTGCTGGAGCAGTAGTTGAGAGCTACATTCTGCTCTGTAGACCCAGAGAGAGAGAGAGAGAGAGAGAGAGAGAGAGAGAGAGAGAGAGAGAGAGAGAGAAGGAGAGAGAACCTGGGCCTAACATGGGCTTTAGAAACCTCCAAGGTTCACCCCACAAACATACCCCTGGAGATACACTTCCTCCAATAAGGCCACATCCCCTAATCCTTCCAATCCTTTCAAAGTTCCACTTATGTGAGCCTATAGGGACCATTTTTATTCAAACCATCACATTGCACTCCATCTCCCTATACAGGTGTGTAGATGCATCATAATTCAAAAATGACCTCAGTTCAACTTCAAAAGTCCCCATTGTACATCACAGTTTAAACAAACAAAGTTGGTTCAAAGTCTCTTGTAAGACTCATGGTATTCTTTTAACTGTAACCCCCAGAAAAATCAAAATCAAAAACAGAACACATACTTCCAGTGTACTCTGGCTCAGAATATACGTTACCATTCTGAGAGAGAAGAAAGGGAACATGGTGATGAAATTCTGAACCAAAGCAAGACCAAAAACCAGCAAGGCCAACTCCAAAATCTGCATCCCCATGTCTGATGTTAAAGAGCTCTACAGGTTGCCAATTCCTTTCGGATTTGTTAACTGCAACAAACATCTCTTTCCTGGGTTAGTTCCGTACCTGGTTTGCAGCTTTCCTTGCCACATCACCTACATCTTGGGGTCTCCAAGGTTATCCAGGCTTCACCTCCACAGCTTTACACAATGGCCTCTCTGGGCCCCCATGCAAGGACACCTCAGCCACATGCCTGACTTCGGCAGCTTTTCTTAGCTGTGGAGGGAGATTCCACAACCACTTCCTTATATCCTTGTTTCTAAAGCCAGAGCCATGAGAACCAAACTGCCATGTTCTTTTGCTTGACAGAGCTGGAGCTTGACCCCCTTCTTTAAATTACATTTGCATCAGTGTTCTGTTTTTGATGGTTTCCTTCACTGCCTAAGCTTTTCATAATTCCTTTTCACAAGTAGGAAGCTTCACTGGGTCAGATCTTGCCCTGAGGTCACCACTTGCTTTATTTTACTTAGCATCGGGGTTTTCTTTAAACCTTTTGTCTCCTTGAGCACTGGGCTTGGCTCCAGTACACTTCCTGGTGCTCCTTTTTCTTCTCAAACTGTACATTTTGTAATTCTCTTTGTCCAGTTTGCTCCCTTTCATTATAGATCTATAGAGTTGTTACTAATAACCACACGACACAGTCAAGACTAAGCTGTCTGGACATCCCCTCTTCAATTTATCCTCTGGCAAATTGTTCAGAAAAGGGAAGAAAGTAGCCACATTCTTTGCTGAAAATATCACAAGAATGGCCTCTAGGCCTAATACTCCTCCCTCTGAAACCTCTTGTTCAGGATTGACACGATCTACATTGCCACTGTCTTCCACACCTCCTACTAGGAAGACAAATGAAGCCTTGCTTAAAGTGCTTCTCTAACCCAAAGTCCCAAAGTCCACGTTCTGCCAATGAGTAACAAGCTCAGGCCTGTCAGCAGTACCACACTCTCTGACTTCACCCCTGCCCCTGAGAAACACATGTCCTCCAACAGGGCCATACCTCCTCATCCTTCTAATCCTCCAAAGAGCTCCATTCTTTGGTGACTAAGCATTCAAATATATGAGCCTATGGGGGCCTTTCTTATTCAAACCACCACAGAACCTATCTGAAACACCCCACTGTTACCACACTTGCTCTAAACAGATCATTTACACTAAAACTCCATTAGTTAAGCTGGAACACTGTGTAGCTGGAGGTTTCTGTCCCCCCAGGCTCTGCTGCCCTTAAGACCCAAATAACTACACAAAGACTTATATTCATTATAAAACTGTTGGCCGATGGCTAGGGTTTCTTATTGGCTAGCTCTGACTGAATTATTAACCCATTTCTATTAATCTATGTATTTCCACAGGTCTATCTTACCAGGGTCTGGACCTGTTATCCTTCCTCTGTTACATGGTGACTCCTTTTGGTGGCCTCTCTCCTCTCCTTCCTCTCATAGCCCTGTCTATACTTCCTGCCTGGTCAATCAGTGTTTTATTCATCAACCAATAAGAGAAACATATATACAGAAGGACATCCCTCATCAACTCTGGCACACGCTTTGGTGTTCAATTTTAATTATGAGATGTGCTAAGTTTCACACCATTGCCCCTCTATAAGCCCATTGCCTCTGTCACTGAAGGAGCCTAGTGATGCCATTATACTTAAGTGTGCCACAAATAAGGTCCCTAAAGAATACAAATTTTGACAACTCGTGAGCAGTTCAAGATTATCCTCCATGACTTGGAAATCTGGGGACCAGTTTGAGCTACATGAGACTCTGTCTCAAAAAAGAAAGAGTGTGCAATTTGGTCATTTTTATTTTAAAGTATATTACTTGGCTAACACTGGGCAATGGGGTTAAGAACATGGCAAGTCACTGCTGTCTACTTGCTACAGCAACAGTGTAGGAGCAACACTAAAATCCTATGTGTAATTACATGAATAGGATCTGAGAACCAGTTGCCTCACAAGAAACTGAAATAACCTTAATTTGGGGGATTCAGTGATTGCAATCATGCTGTTATATACCATGTTCCAAAGGCACAGGCCAGAGCCTGAGCTTGAACAAATGAACGCATGTGTGAAGGAATGATCATGAAGGTAATGACCAGAATGAACAATGTGTTCATCTTAGAATGGTGGGTTTTGATAACGCAGGAGCTTTAGGGTCACCGTCTAACTCATTCCTTTGCTTCCTTCCCTAGGCAGCTCGAAATCCACTCTCCAGATGCTAAGCACACAATAGTCCTGAGGAGTAAGGACTCCGCCACCGCCCAAGCCTGGTTCAGTGCCATCCATTCCAATGTCAATGACTTGCTGACCCGAGTGATTGCTGATGTCAGAGAGCAGCTGGGAAAGACGGGCATTGCTGGCAGTCGTGAGATCAGGCATCTTGGCTGGCTAGCAGAAAAGGTGAGGGGACTGTCAATTGTCCCTAGGTTCTGCCACTGAAATTAGCTCATTCCATAGCTCTCCTTGATGGTGAATTGACTCAATTGTTAATCCCAATAGCACTCATAACATTGTAGTATGTGGAGAATTTGTCTTACTCAACATTTATTCTCTAGCATACTTTCAAGTATGTGGTCCCTAACTGTGTGATGGGAAAATGAGCAAGTTAATGAAAAGTTTAATTTCTGAGATATTCCTGTGATAGGCAGGGAAAGCAACTCAAGCTCATAATACAGCATCTATGAGGAAAGGAGTAGAGATGATTGATTGCTCAGAAGCAGTTTATGTGGATTTTAATGAACCTGCTCATTAATTAAATAGATCCTCCAGGAATCATATGCTTACAAATGACAGGAATAATATTAATAATGAGGGTTTATTAAGCAACTACTATGTGCTGATTCGTTTCCACCTTATCTCTTACTTGCACTTTCAAACAAGCAAATTTTAAATGTCATTCTTAATAAGCACCTACCTTGTATGGGATGCAAGTCTGAACATGATTGACAAATTTTATATTGAAAATGAATGCATGGCAATATTGGAACAGTACGCAGTTCAAAAAATAATTATTAGAACACATTTCAAGTGTGAAATCATGGGTTCCAAAATGCTATATATATGAATTTATTATCATATTTGCTCTCCTTGTTCTTTCCCTTTTTCATCCGTCTTCTTCCTCTTCTACACAGTCTCAATTCCTACTTTTACGTGTGTGTGTGTGTGTGTGTGTGTGTGTGTGTGTGTGTGTAAGAATCCATGCATATGTTTGACAGTTGCAACAAGATAAAAATCTAACAGAGGGTTACAACTGCAGAAGCTTTAACTTATGCTGTAAATATATTTCGTAAAGTTATTGCTTAGACATTTTAACAAGTCAGGCAATTAAATGATGTAATGAGAAAGAACTCTAAAACAGGAATGGGCTAATGTGGACTGTGTCACTAGTTGGCCAAAATAGTACTTTTACATATAATAAAGATGGTGATGATTAGGATGATGATGATAGCATGGCTGTGTGTCATGGAGGACGTCTGTCGTGGAAAATGTTCTATATATAATATTAACGCTGTCACGTAGATCTCCAAAGTGTATGGTATGTTGGGAAGTCTTGAAGGATTGAGCCTTAGCCATTGTCCTTACATCTGATTGTTGTCACTTGAACCTGCAGTGCTGCTAATGCTTCTGGGCTTTGTGGCACTCTGACCTCCCTGTGATTCTGCAATAACAGCTTTCCTGCCAATAAATCCTGGCATCTGGGAAGACCGAGTCAAATGGCACTTGGAAATAACACCTGAACAGAGCCTTCGGTTGTTTTCCACCATTGTTCTTTGTGAGCACCTGCTCACACGTGGGTCTGGGCCACAGAGTTCAATGCACAGGGGGTTGTTTGCATCCATCTCTGGTGGATGACAGACAACTAGAGGTCAGTGTGGATGTTAAGAGCATCAACATCATAGGAACTGCAAACCTTGGGAAGCCTCTCACAAGCTCACTGGCTCACAAAGGTGGCCAGGGGTGACCAGGAGTGGGGCAACTGTGTGACTGTGACAGGGTACTCAGAGGAGAAACCATTGGTGATGGAATATTTCTGTATATGGACTTCTGTGGTCTTGATAAAAAAAAAATATATACCTGTTCATGAAAACAGCTCAAGAAATCTGGGCAGTTGACATTTGTAAAGTCACGGTGGCTAGCACTAGCTAACATTCACTTTCTCAGGTGTGTTTCTCTTGGAGTGGAGGCCTGTTAGGCAAGAATCCTGCAGTTTCATGTGACAGAAGCTCAACTCTGGTTGAATACAGAGGGCCTTGTGCAGCCTGTTTCCCAGAATAACCTTCAAGTGTGCCCAGGATTCATTTGTTTAATGATATCTGCCACACTTTCCCAACTCTGTTTTTCTACCTACTTTGATGATTTATTGTCAAAAGACTCAGTGCACCTTGACATGAAAATTCCAGATTCATTTTTTTACTCTTGGCTGTCTCTAAGTTAAAGCCTCTATGTTGCTAGAGGTTCTTGTCCTGCCAGGACACTGCCCTTCTCAGCCCCAAATAAACACAAAGAGACTTACATTAATTATTAAACTGCTGGCTGATGGCTAGGGCTTCTTACTGGCTAGCTGTGTCTTAATTATTAATCCATAACTAGTAATCTATATATTCCTACATAGCCTTATCTTACTGGAAAGTGCCTGGCATGTCCTATCCTCCTGGACCCTCCATGGTGTCTCATTGTGGTCTCCTTCTGCCTACCTTTCCCATAATTCTTATCTCCTAATCCTGTCTTTATTGACCAAACAGTGCTTTATTCATCAACCAATAAGAGAAACATTTATTCACAGAAGGACATCCCCCATCATCTCTCTGTTCCATTCCTTCCAACAGAAGTCCTAATATTGATTCTAATTGGATTGTCTTGAATCATATTTTTAGCGCCAGCTGCACAGAGCTCAGGATGAACCAAATCACATCCGTTGAGAAATAAAGAGGATTTTCATATTTGGGTGTGGGAAGGTCTATGTGAGAGTATATCTGGATAGGCCGTGCTTGTGGGGAATGTGTGATCATCCTATCTCTGCCTTCCAAGTGCTGATGTGACAGGTGTGTGCCACCAGAAGGGTAACAATTTTTCTTTGAGGAGAGCGGCATCCTGGTTGTTCTGGTTTTTTGAGCCCATGTCTCATATAGACCAGTCTGATGTTGAATCCATCATGTAGCCAAGGACCACCCAAACTTCTGATCTTCGGGATTGCAGGTATGTCACCACACCTGGTTTATGTGGTGCTGGGTATCAAATCCAGGGCTTTGTGTGTGGTAGGCAAGCACTCTACCATTGAAGCTCCAAACCCCAAAGCAGCATTTATTCTTGTTCATGAAAAAAATTACAATAATAAAGTGTGTGTGGATACAGAAGTCATGGAAGCAGTTAGGACACCCTTTATAGAAAGACAAGATAAGGAGCTTGTTGGGACGGAACAAGTCTTCATTTGGTTATGGTCCTGAGTTAACAGGAGTAGGCCTAGAAGAGGAAATGGAACACATGTTCAGGAACCTGTAAGACAGGAATAGGAATTCAACTGATGACTGAAGGGAATTAAGGCAGTGGTAGTTAACAGAGTATAGCCAAAATGTGGGAGGGTGTAAAGTATCCCAGAATTGACAGTGAGATGCTGTGGTATCCTTTGACCAGAAAGGACATGGACAGCAGCAGGAACTGAAAACTATTAAGCATCATAGCTGTAGAAAAAAAGATGGCTACTCCCAACCATAGTCTTTAATAGAGAAAGCCATTTCCTGCTAACTCTTGTTTACTGATCTTGTATTGCTATTTCCCAGTGGATGAGGCTGCAGGGAGTAAGCGGCAAGGGGTGACCCCTGGTGCAGACTGTTGATGTGAGTGTGCAACCCAAGACTCAGAGAAGGCTGGGAAGAGGCACAAACTGGATCTGGCATATATGTGGGACACACACACACCCTCCAAGTACCGAGATGAGGCTCTCAAGTCTTCAGCCACATCTGTATTTAAAATCACGACTGTCCAGTTAGTTGAAAAGTACCATTGTATCAGTGTTCGTGGTACCAGCTATGTTTCCAGAGGTTCCATTGTTTTCACTTAGAAGCTGACTTATACCTTTGGCGTATGCCAAATCATTAGTAGGCCATTATAAGGTGTTCCCATGGAGAAGTAATAAGAGCATATAAAAAGCTCTTTCTGTTTTGGGAATGCCATTATTCTTACAATATAATTTCAAATAATCATTGCAGATGTCTCCTTGAGTGTGTGCTTTACTGTATTTAGAAGAGCAATAATGACTTATTGTGGACAATTATTATAAGCAAGAATATCCTTTATTACTTTTAACTCCAAATTTCTCAAAAAAAAAAAAAAAAAGAAGAAGAAGAAGAAGAAGATTACCATATATCAAGTCCAAGGGAACAAATCCAAAGAAGACTTTTTTTTTGAATAGATGTTTAATACCAAATTCTAATGTAGATTCATATGGATGGCTTTTAGCCAAATACAATGAATGGCAAATCCCTAATACTGTGCCTTTCTTATCACAAATATCAGAGAATTTGCTTGGTATTTGTAAAGATATAAAATGTCATTCTATATATATCCAGCTGCAATTTACCTTAAATTGATGTCCTTTGTCTTTCTCTATACTGTTAAGCTTTGGTTTGGGGATGAATAATAGTAGCTCCATGACAAGGTTATTCAAGTCATATTTAATTTCAAGGTTTTACAAGTGAGGCTTATATGAACTAACATAATGTGAAGCAACATTAATTTCCTTTGTAAAATCCTGCTCAGTGAAAATCCTAAGGCCTCCTTGACTCTCTACGGGAAGAAAACTGAATACTAACACCAGTCTCTTCTTGAGACAGTCGAGGGAGTTGACAGATGGCTCTTGAGAAACTATGGGATTTCCAGTGGCTGGAGATAGCTCACTGCTTTGCCAGGGAGGACAAGAAGGAAGGTGTGCAAATAGAGCACTTACATAATGAAACGTGTGTGTGTGTGTGTGTGTGTGTGTGTGTGTGTGTGTGTGTGTGTGTGTGTACATGAGCACGCATGTGCATGCAAGGTCAATAAATACCCATACCTTATAATATGCATCCCATACCACCCTTAATTTTTTAAGTCTTTCAAATGTGATTTTCAATTATTTGCATATAGAAGTATTTTCGATTAGCACATTAGAAAGATAAGCTGTATTCTCAGTCTCTAGATGTATGGAGAAACAATAGTAAATGGACTTAATGGGACCTTTTGAGTCTGTTGTGTGCCCTTTGCATCAGGCATTTAATTGCCTTGGAATCTTATTTGCAGGTGACTCCATGTTAGAATTAAAAAAAAAAAACGCAAAACTACAACATAGCAAAACAAAACATCCCTTTCTGATCCCAAGATGCAAGTCGCTTCTCAACTTTGCTTATTCTCCTTTCAGATTCTTT